GGGGGGGCGTCACCCTGGAGGCGGGTCCTTGTTTTCCCGGTTTGCCCGTGGCTGGCGCCTGGGACTTTCCGCCCTGGTGGCCTTCCGCACCGGCCCACCGGCCCTTCTCTGCGCAGGTCCGGCTGCCTGCCACAGAACCAGGGCCCACCCCAGGTCAGTCCCTCCCCTGGGGGAGCCCCAGACTCCTGGGTCCAGTTTCCTCATGCAGTCGGGGGGGGGGGTGGGAGGGGGATTTCCTGATACACAAATCCAGTCAAATCCCTCCCCTGCCTCCCGGTCCATAGTTTAAAATCCGAGCTTCTTAGCTTAGCTTATAAAATCCGGATGTCTGGTGCCTGCGGACCCCGAAGTGTCCTTCATCTGCCCTCCTCCCCCCCTTTCCCGGGCCCCTTGCTCCCCCTGGGAAAGGAAGGCTGATTGCTGTCCCTCCTGTCGTCCCCAGGATGACACCCCTCCTAGAGCGGCCCCCGCCCAGCGCCCAGGCACCAGCGCGGAGCCCCCAGAGGCCAGCACGGCCCGCGCGGCGCGCGGTAAGTCCTGCGGCCACGTCTCCTACAGGTGGTGCTTGTCAGTCCCCTGGACTCGGAGCCGTCGGTGGCGGGCGGGCCCTTGATCTCTGTGCCCTGGCTCAGTGCAGGGCCCTCGGTATCTCAGAGCTGGCCCTTCCACGGGTTTGTCAGAACCAGCTCTGCAACGAGTTCCTAACAGGCCGGCTCGAAAGGGTTCCGTGGCAATCAATTTGAGAAACAGCTGTTGGAATCAATACTGGTAGAAACCAGGATTCGTTTTCACGTGACTCATAGGTCAGTTGCTGGGGGCAGGAGAAATCCCAGCCCCTACACCGTGCACGCACCCGGTACCGAGGTCCGCTCCGGGCTCACCCAGCCCGGCTCGTCCCCTTCGGCGGCCCGCGTGCTGTCGCGCGTGGCGCGGTTGTCTTCCAAAGACGGGCCATTTTTCTCAGCTCTGTGTATGTGACGACGCGAAGCTTCGTGTGTTATCACAGCGTCCTGTCTAAAACCAGATAACGATCGCAGTACTGGTGCCACCACAGACCACACGTCACTCGCCTCGCTGTGGTCCACGGTGCCTCCCACCCCCCAGTGGAAAGATCTACCCGCAGAGGAGGAAGACGCCCACCGGGGTAGCCGGACGCCCCTCCGAGCAAAAGTTTCCATCGGGGTGATATCTTCCACCCCAGAAGAAAATAAAAATTTGCTTCAGAAATAACCTAAGCTTGTTTTTACACCTCGAGAAAACGGTTTCCAACGTGTACGGCCCTCACTGTGGTGTTCACTCTGATCACAGAAATGAATGTACTTTCTATGAACTTCACGATCGGATTTCCTCCTGGAACCCCCCAGAGGACCCTTTTATTCTGTCTTGCTTTTTTTTCTTTCTTTAACTGTCCTTTGGGGGGGGGGGGGCTCAAATTCCAAATGCCTGTGTTTTTCACTTACGACTTTTACACGTTGTAGTAAAATCTGTGATAAAACCTTTGCACAGTCGGTGTGTGATTTGAAAACAAAAAAGCCCCTGTCAGGGAAGCAGGATAAACTGGATTTCTGTGTTGATGAGTCAAGGTGAGTTACCTTTTGTGAGTGTGGATAAAAGACGACAGATTAAATGCCAGGTGTCCCCAGGCAGAGGGGAAGCTGGCAGAATCTGTAGCGTTGTGGACCAGGGCGGGGAGGGGAATACCAGGTATCACATGGCCCTGTTTCTGAAAGGACTCTGCCAACTCCCTGAGCTCTGCTCTGCCTCCTATTTTCTTTTCTTTTCTTTATTTTTTGGTTAATCCTCACCTGAGGATATTTTTCCATTGATTTTTACAGAGTGGAAGGGAGGGAGGAAAGGGGAGAGAGAGAGATCTGCTGGGTGCCTCCTGCATGCGCCCCAACCCAGAGACGTGCCCGGGACCAAGAATCCAACCCGAGACCCTCCATCGGGCGGGCTGGTGCTCTAACCACTGAGCCACTGGCCCGGGCGGCCTCCTATTTTCAAAGGATTGTACCACCAGTGATGGTATTCTCGCGCAAGATTGAAATCGAAGTGAACGTACTTTATTTCCATCAAAACAACACATGTTTTCTGAACACACATAGTTAGATGACACGCCAAAGCATAAGAAAATACCTTCTTTAAAGAAGGGGGAGGGATCCCCGTGATTTCACGGACTTTCGTTCAGGTAGTGATTTTCTTGGAATGGTGCTGAGGTTTACATCCAAAGCAAAGATGACAGAAGGTCTGGGGAGATGGGGGGTGATGGAAGGAGACAGGCTGCTGTACCCAGTACAGTGTACGGATGAGGTATGTGGAACTGTGCACCTGGATCATTGTGCACCTGCATCATTTTCTTAATCTGTGTCACCCCAATACATTCAATAAAAGGGTGGGATTGCCCTGACCGGTTTGGTTCAGCGGTTAGAGCGTCGGCCTGCGGTCCTGAGAGACCCGGGTTCGGTTCCCGCTAAGGGCGCGTACCTCGGTTGCAGTTTGTCCCCAGCCCTGGTCGGTTGTGCGGGTGGCAGCCACTCGATGTGTCCCTTTCACATCGATGTTTCTCTCTCTCTCTGTTCCTCTCTCTCCCTCCCACTCTACCTGAAAAAAATGGAAAAATGTCCTCGGGTGAGGATAAAAAAAAAAAAAAAAAGAAAAAAAATAATAATAAAAGGGTGGGATTAAAGACATGTCCTGCCAGATATCAAGAGCGATTCTAAAGCCACCAGAACAAACACGGCGCAAAGGGACCAATGGAACAGAAACCAGCCCTTGGGTACACGGAAACTGGATGTGTGATGGGAAAGAGATGGACCACTGGATAAACAAATAGGTGGGACTGGACCATGACTATCCATGTGCAGAACTCAAAACTGAATCATTACCTCAGCATACACAGAGATCATTCCTGATAGACCAGACTTAAATACAGAGGACAAAACTTAACACTTCTAGAATTCACTGGGAAGAATTATCTTTATGTTATTGGGGCAGGGAAGGGTTTCTATAAACAGGAAACAAAAAGCTGTAACCATATAAGAAATGAGTTGTGAATTTAACCAAATTAAGTGAAGAACTTTCCCCTTTTTTTAAAAAAAATACATTTATTTTAAAATATGTTTTTATTGATTGATTTTTTAGAGAGAGAGGAAGGGAGAGAGAGAGAGAAACATCGACCGGCTGCCTCCTGCACGCCCCCTACTGGGGATCGAGCCCGCAACCCGGGCGTGTGCCCTGACCGGGAATGGATCCGGGACCTCTCAGTCCATGGGACGATGCTTAACCACTGAGCCACACTGGCCAGGCGAAGAATTGTCCCTCTTATTACCAGAATGATACAATTGAAAGAGAGGAAAAAACAAAGCACATATATGTGACTAGTGGTTATTACCTAGGCTATATAAAGAATTTCTAGGCATCAATAAGAAAGCGACAAACAAGTGTGTTTTCAAAATGAGCAAAAAACATAAGCAAGCATTTCACAAAAAAGAAGCACAAAGGGCTGAAAAGACCTGAAATGACAAGATGCTTGTTAGTAATCAAAGACATGCAAAATAAGACCACAGCGAGATGCCTTCTTAAACCCACCAGGACGGGCAGTATTGAGTCTGATGGTACCAGAGGGTGGGGATCCATGGACAGTACATGCTGCTGATAAGAGCACAATGCAAACAGCTCCTCTGGGAAGCAATCTGTCACCATGGTGGCCTTTCCATTGCTCAGAAATACTTTCTGCCCTACGGATGCCCAGCTGGGCTGTGCGACTTTCTCTAAAAGCTAGCATCTAACCAACTGCATGTGGGCAGAGTCTGTCCCTGTGCCAGGAGAGCACCAACGGTCCCGGCAGAGAGCGCTCCCTCCGGTGGAGTCCCGGGAGAGCCGCAGCCAGCCTGCGGTGGGCGTGGAAGGACGGCAAGCAATGCACCTGTGTTGTGTGGCGTGCTCCATAGGTTTGGGGGTCGTTTGTTACTTCTGCATCAGTTAGCACAGCCCTACTGATATGGCTGTTGGTTCGTAAAGTTGCACAAAGGAAGTTTCCCTGGAGACCCTCTTACACGGGAAACACACAAAAGAACACTCCCAGCGATGTTATTTAAAACTGCAAAAACCTGGAAACAGTGCACATGTCCTTAGGAGAAAATGGATTGATAAATTACAGTTTATTCACAAACTTACACAGCCATCAACACGAACGCCTTCCAGCAACACGCCAGGGCACGGAAGAGTCTTATAAATATAATTCTGAGTCATGAAAGCAAGTCACAAGTCTCCCCACAGTACGCTACCACTTCCAGAAATCTCAAAAACAGACAAAACGAAATAAAACGGTTTTGCGTATATAATTCTGTAACAAAGTGACAGACCCAACATTCCTCCGAGAGGTTGCCCAGGGGAGGGTGGGAGGGAAGGGAAGAGGGAGAGAAGCCGCCCACAGGTGGCCCTCTGACCTTGATGGTGGCCCTCTGACCTTGACGCTGGCCCTCTGAAGGGTCAGCCAGCACGTTTCAGGCTTTGTCCGGCTCACGGTGGTGACACACAGGCTGCGTGGACAGCAAGTGAACAGTGTGCGGCTGTGTGTTCCAATAACTTCACTGACAGACTCGGAAACTGGAGTCGCTCATCATTTGACACGTCATGAGACATTCGTTTTGAAAACCACGTGAAAACGACTGTGAGCTCCTGAGCCCTGCGCAGGCGCAGGGTGGGCCCGGGTGTCTCGGGTTCGGCCCGGGGCGGGCGGCAGCCCCTGCTCCAGCTCTCTGGATGGGCTCCCAGGTCTTCATTCCGTGACTGTTTCATTTACTAATCTATGTGTATAAAGTATGTTTTTAAAGTTTGTAGGAATAAAATGAAATGTAAGCCCCTGCTCAGAGCGGGCGGGACCAAGGCAGAGAGGCAGGACGAGGGCCCCAGGCCACGCTGGACTCTGAAGTCAATGTCAAATAGATTCACTTTGAATTAAAAAAAAAGAAAGAAAGGAAAAGAAAAAGAAAGAAAGAAAGGAGCCCAACCCTGTCAAGTACTATCTAGAAAATGCCCCTTTACCAACAGCTCTGTCCTGTGGAAGGTGGTACATTTTCAAGGCACACGCGTCAGCATTTGGAAGGATCTTGGGGGTCATCTGGGTGTTGTCTAGGATGGCCTTTTTCAGCACAGAAAGATCTGCTGGTGGGATCACTCGGACTCCTCCTTCGGGTCTTGTCAGAAGCGTCCGGCGCGCTCGGTCACAGCCTCTGCCCCTCTCCCTCCTCCTCCTCCGGGAAGCCGCAGCTGCAGCTGTCTTCCTCCTGGGCGGTGCGCGCTGTCTTCAGGAACGCTGCAAACACGGCCAAAGGCGCTCACCGGGCTCGTCTGTGACCACAGCCACGGAGCCACCACCTCTAAGCATTTTAAAAACTTTTTTAACAAGTATTTTATTGATTTTAGAGGGAGAGGGAGGGAGAGATAAAAACATCGATCGGCTGCCTCCTGCACGCCCCCCACTGGGGATCGAGCCCGAAACCCCGGCATGTGCCTTCACCGGGAATCGAACCGGGACCTCTCAGTCCATGGGACGACGCTCAATCCACGAAGCCACACCAGCTGAGTAAACATTCTCTACTTTAATTCTAACCAACCTATCAACAAGAGAGGTCATGGCAAGGATGAATTTCTCAGAATGATTTAAGATCTTTTTCTTTGCCCGGTCAGTGTGGCTCAGTGGATTGAGCATCATCTCATGGACTGAGAGATCACGGTTCGATTCCCGGTCAGGGCACATGCGTGGATTGTGAGCTCGATCCCCAGTAGGGGGCGTGCAGGAGGCAGTTGATCACTGTTTCTCTCTCACATCGATGTTTCTAGCTCTCTCTCCTTCCTCTCTTTCTAAAAATAATCAATAAAAACATATTTTAAAATAAATATTTTTTCTTTTGACCAAATATTTTTATTGGTCCTGAAAGAATATATTCTTTATTTTTATATGGCTAAAAAGACTCCTGAGCGTGAATCACTAATGCATCAAATGTGTCACGTCCTGAACAGAACTGTAGTTTCCATGAGGGTCACTCAGGAGGCACACTAGACAGGTTCTTCTGTATGAAATGCTAGATGTAACGATACACCCACCCCCCTCTATTGGTAAGAACTGATTTATGCACTAGCTCCTAGGTTTTCTTTCACATATTAGTGTAAAGTATTTGCGTCACTGCTGAGCAACTTTTAATCCTGAGCAGATATTTTTATAGCCTGACAAAACAATATAGGCCCTACCCCAATTTTACATGCTTGTTATTACAAAAATAATAATAATAACAATAACCCAAACCCAGCAAATGCACTGTCTCCAAGAATTTATGAAAAACTGGCAAGACATTCAGAAATATCAATGGGGTGTCACGTCCCAACTTGTTTTGTGAAACCAGTACTATTCTGATATCAAAACCAGACAAAGACAGTACTAGAAAATAAAAATATACATTAATACCCCTCAGGAATATAGCTACCAAAATTCTTAACAAAATATTAGCAAACAGAATTTTGCAACTTAGGAAAAGAATGATATACTATGAGCAAGCAGAGTTTAGTCCAAGGACAAAAATACTCCTGAGCAAGGCTGGTTCAACGTTCAGAACTGAATCTATGTGATCCATCATCTTAACAGGATCAAGAAGAAAATCACATGATTGTGTCAGTTGATGCAGAGAATGCATGTGACATGATTCAACACCCAAGAACATCCACCAGCTCTGGCCAGGTGGCTCAGCTGGTTGGAGCATTGTCCCATGCACCGAAAGGTTGCGGGTTCGATTCCCAGTCAGGACATGTGTGGGAGGCAAGCGATTGATGTTTCTCTCTCACATCAATGTTGTTGTTTCTCTCTCTCCCTCCCTCCCTCCCTATCTGATGATAAATAGAAAAATATCCTCGGGTGATGATTAAAAAAATAAATGTAAAAAAATAAATTTGAGTGAAAAAAAGCCCATCTCATACGGTTATATATTCATGACCCATTTCTATACTGTAGGATTCCATTTCGGTGATATTCTTGCAAAGACAAACTTGTGGAGAGAGAACGCAGATTCGAGGTTGCCCGGGTTAGGGATGGGGGAGGGTGTGGATGTGGCCACGGAGAGCAAGCAGCGGGGAGAGCTTCATCTCATGGAATATTCTGTGTTTTCATTGTATTGGTAGTCACATCAATCTACATATGTGACAAAATGACATACAAGTATACACACACAGCCCTGGCCGGGTGGCTCAGTTGGTTGGAGCATCGTCCCATACACCAAAAAAGGTGAGGGTTCAATTTCTTGTCAGGGCAGGTACAGAGGCAACCGATTGATGTTTCTCTCTCTCTCAAAAATTAGTAAAAACATAACCTTGGGTGAACAAACAAGCCCTGGCCAGTTTTGCTCAGTGGTTAGAGTGTCGGCCTGTGGACCAAAGGGTCATGGGCTCAATTCCCAGTCAAGGGCACGTGCCTGGGTTTCAGGTTTGATCTCTGGCCCCGGTCGGGCTCATGCGAAGGCAACCAATCCACGAGTCTCTCTGACATTGATGTTTCTCTCTCTCTCTCTCTCTCTCACTCCCTTCCTCCCTTCCACTAAAAACTCAGTGGAAAAATATCCTCGGGTGGGGGGATAACAAAAAATAAATAATAAAAATAAAACAAACAAACAAAAAACCAAGTATACGCACACAATGCCAACGTCACTTGCCTGGTTTTGATGGTGTACTATAGTTACATGGAATGTAACCTGGCACTGTCTTTACAACTTCCTGTGAATCTAAAATGATCTCAAAACAGAAACTTTCTAAAATGCCCTAAAAAATGTTTTTAAAATGGAATACAGTTTCACTGCAACTCACTAATTACTCATAAATACTTTTGAAAATCATTTTATGAAGAGCTTTATTGCCATTTGGGTGAAGCTGGGAAGATTTGCTCTTTATAGGAGGGGTTTCGGTGAGAGCTTAGAGGTTTAAATCAAAGGTTTTGACCTCAAAAGAGAAGCAATGAGCCAGCCACAGAGTGGAAAACCGTATCTGCTGTGTACGAACAGCAGACGGAAGGATTTCTGTACATGAATAAGAAAAATGCTCAGAAGACTTGATCAGGCACTCGCAGAAGAGGGGATCCAAATGGCCAATATAACTTGAAAAAAGTCTCATCTCACTAGAACTCGGGGAAATGCCAATTCAAACCACGATGACATCTATCCGCCCATCAGATAGATACAAATCAACACCACGTGTAGCAAGGACTGGAGCAGAAGGAACTCTCCTAGGCTTCTGGACAAGTGAAGATGAGGATCCTACAAGCCTGGAAAAATAGTTTGGTGTATCTACTGAGGACCCAACAATTTTATTTCTAGGTTATAAAAAACAAGCAGCAACAACAAAAGCACAGAGAAACATGTGCTTATGTGTACTGAGATAAGTAGACAAAAATATTGGAACATCATTGTTTGCAATAGCCCCAAACTGGAAATAAGCCAAGTGTCCATAAATATTGGAAGGGATTGACAAACAGTGATGCAGTCACTCAGTAGAAGAGTATCCAGCAATGGAAATCAACCAAGGTAAATGCAACACATGGATGGGTCATAGTGATACAATGTTGCATGAAAGAAGGAATAGATACAGAAAATATGGAATAGGTACATGTGATTTCACTTGTATGAAGTTCACTGGCAGCCTCGTTAAACTGTGTTGTTAGGTAGTAAAACTATAAATAAGAGCAAGGAAGTGACTGCCATAAATATCTCGGTGTGGTTAGCGCTGGTGGGGAGGGAGGGCTTCATCTGGAAGGACATGCGGGGCTTCCGGGAACGAAGATAACCTCGTTTCTCAAGCGGAGTAGGGTGAAGCAGGTGTTTGTTTTACAACCATTTGTTAAACTTTCTTTACATGGATGCATCGATTCCTATATGTTATATTGCACCGGGTAAACAGATTTTGTGTTATCTTCAAAAGACTCTTATACAAATTAATGTAGAGCCTCTTCAGATAAGACTGTACTGATGCAGTCCCTGATATGTTTTTAACGTTTCTGGTTACAGCACAGGGCGCTCTATGTGTGAAGCCTTCCTATCAAGTCTAGCCTGTGTCTATGGTTCTGAGGACGAAAAACAGGCTGCCCCCATCTATAACCTATTTTGGTTTTTGTTTGTTTGTTTTTATCCTCACCCAAGGACATTTATTTATTTATTTATTTTTTGGTACGTGCCCCGAGCAGGAACCGAACCCGGAACTCCCTGGTCCGCGGGCCAACGCTCTAACCACTGAGCAAAACCGGCCAGGGCTATAACCTTTTTGAATGAATACTAAGAGGTTTCATTTAATGAATTCTGACTCTCACCAAGTTCCACATAGAAAGAGTATCTTGGTCCATTGAAGGAAGTTCATTATTAAAGTTTCTCATTTAATCCAGATTGGTGTCCTAACAACCCGTTTTGTTGAACACACTTCAGACCCCCTCTGAGCTCCCTGTGCCTCCTCACCTGGCCTGTCTGCCTCAGGTTAAGGCCACTAACCAGCCCGAGGAGCAGGGCCCGAAGGGCAAACCTTATTTTCTGATTCCTGTGTACACAGCTGACTGGCTGCACACACGTGCACACACGCACATGCACACACTTACACACACAGTTATCCGAGACGGCACATGCTTACACTGTGATCTTTCTGGAACCCTGGGATTATGTTCTGCTATCACCCACTCTCTTCACCTCGGCACTATTGACATCTGGGGCCGGATACCCCTGCTGCGGGCCGGCCTGGGCATTGTGGGCGTTTAGCAGCATCCCTGACCACTCAGTACACCCCCCACCCCCGGGGAGTGACAACCAAAACTGTCTCCTGATGTTGCCAGATGTCCCTTGGGGGCAAACCTGCCTGTGCCTGATGCCCACGGGGCCGCGCTAAGGAAATGAACCACCACCCTTCCCTCTCTGCGGGAGCAGCCGGCCTGGAAGGAGCGCTGTCCGCTGCGTGCCGCGGCCTTACGTTGTTTGAACATGTACAGCAGTTTCTTCCTGCCCTGCGCGGACGCGGAGAAGCGGACCATGAGCAAGAACACCAGGAACAGGGCCGTCATCGCCAGCGCGAGGAAGATGCTGATCTGGGGGTGGTGACCTGGAAGAAAGCGACAGGAGAGACATACGTAGCAGTGTCATGCTGCAAGTGGACTTTTCACATTGACAATGACCTTGACATTGACCTTGACGTCTGCAAACCCCTCAGCATGAGGAGAAGGTGGGCCCTTGGGCATCTCCAACCAGCTAACTTGGTCAACTTGCCTGCGTGTTAAGAAAATTTCTATTTTTTATTTTTTAAAATATGTTTTTATTGAGTTTTAGAGAGAGGAGGAGGGAGAAGGAGAGAGAAACATCAATGAGAGAAAAACATTGATTGGCCGCCTCCTGCACACCCCCTACTGGGGCTCAAGCCAAAACCCAGGCATGTGCCCTGACCGGGAATCGAACCTGCGACCTCTTGGTGTGGCTCAGGGGCCTGAGCATCATCCCATGGACTGAGAGGTCCTGGTTCGATGCCTGGTCAGGGCTCATGCCTGGGTTGTAGGCTCAGTCCCCAGTGGGGGGCGTGCGGGAGGCAGCCGATTAATGTTTTTATCTCTCCCTTCCTCTCTCTCTAAAATATCAGTGAAAAAAAAAATGTTAAAACAGTAATAATAATTTTTGAAAAGAAAATTTGTTTTAAACCTTAATACTTTTCCTGGGGGCCCACAAACACCAAGTGCGTCGGCCTTTCCGTATTTCACACGGGAAACGCAGGACTGATGACCCGCTTGGCCTGGCTTCGTCAAAGCCGTGGACTGTTTGAGCCCGGCTCGCCTCGCTCTGCTCCCCGGTGTGACCCGAGGTGCTGCTTGTGGGCCAAGCGCAAGGCCTCACGGTGTCGGCGAGTCCGAGCCCGTGGGGACAGCATGACACGGCACCTGGAGGGGACGGGGACAGCCCAGCTACCTGGCGCAGGGGCAGGCACGGTGGTGGCTGTGCCTGGAGAGAAGTCGGCTGAGACGGGTCCACACACCACATCGCTCTCCTTCGTCCCATTCACCAGCACCGTCTTCCCGTCCACAGAACAGCTGAGGCGGCCCAACGAAAAGAGTTCAGATAGTTAATTTACATACAGACCATTCTAATGAAAAACATTGACCTTGTCCACCAATAAAGCCCAGTCACAAAGATGTGTGGGTGTGGGTTCCTAAAGGTATTTCGGAAAACGTCCGCCGGACCACCTGGCTTCCTCCGGTGTCCACGGTTCTCCGCCATTCACCGCGCTGGGCCCTCCCAGCTGGATTCGTCTTCCTTTTGAGGCTGAGGAGCCTCGTCCCAGAACTCCTCTGTTTTGCCTGGTTAGTCTCCCACCCTCCACCCCAACTTCATAATATATTTGACCACCTCTGGCACATATGGAGGATGGACCACTCAGCATAAGGCTTAGGCGTTCCTAACCCGACCATATGTTATCATCAGACAGACCAGGGTTGGAGTCCTGGGTCTGCTCTTTGCAGAACAGCCTTGGGCAAGTTAGGAAATCTCAGTTTCCTCGTCTGCAAAGTAAGATGCACATGCTCCCAGGACTGTTTTAAAAAGCAAACAAATCACCCTAGTGACACACTTCCATGTGTCTGACTCACTCCCAATAAATGGTAGCCACCATCATCATCACCACCTCCACCATCATCATCCTCACCATCACCACCATCATCATCACCACCACCATCACCATCACCACCATCCTCATCTTTATCATCATGGTCCTTAGGTCTTTCCCTTGCCCCTTTACCTAACCCAAACACACCCCTTCTCCAAGCCCAGTTCAACCCCACCTTCCACGCAGACTCATTTGACTGTTCTGAATGACTTGTGTTGAAAGACCTTTTTAAAATAAACACAAACTTTCTGATCTATTCTGAACCAACTTTTATAAAACGTAAGAATGTAAATGTAAAATAATTTTTGAAAATGATTTTCTAGCAATAAAATCAAATGAAAAAAAAAGGGGGCAAACACATTTACAATACAAGATCTGTTTTTGTTTTGTTTTGTTTTGTTTTGTTTTACCTGAGGATATGTTTGTCGATTTTAGTAGAGAGAGAGGAAGGGGGAGAGGGAGAGACAGAGAGAGCAAGAGAGAGAGAAACATTGATGTGAGAGAGGAACATCAATGTAAGAGAGAAACATCGATCGGTTGCCTTCCATATGCACCCTGACCTGGGATAAAACCTGAAATCTAGGTATGTGCCCTGACCAGGTACTGAACCCCCAACCTCCTTGTGTGGGGGAAGATGGTCCAACCATCTGAGTCACCTGGCCAGGGCAAGACCTAAATTTGTGTTAGAGTTGACGTATACACGTGACTGCCCATTTGCCTTCAAAGTGTCTCAATGCTTACTCCTAACACCTGTGGTGCTCTTACTGTGGCCAAGCGACAATGTGGTGCTCTTGCTGCGGCCAAGCGACAAACGGGGTCCTGTCCACAGCCCACGCCTGGAGCACCTCCAGTCCAGATCACACCACCAGGAATATTCCCGTGGACACAGTTAGCTGTCTTCACTCCCTGTGATGGTCTTGTTTCCCAAGCACCTGTTGTTTTTGAGCGGAGCATGCACACTGGCCCATCGTTCTCAGTGCTGGGCGCTGCACACTGAAGGTGAGCTGATTAACCAGGGAAGGGAAGAGGCAGCACAGACATCGGAAGGACACAGAAGAACACCTGGGCAGACAGTAGCCAAGTCCTACGGGCAACTCTGATCTGGATGCTCCGGCCTTATTTCTGCATATCAAGTCGCTATTACCCTGTAAGGTTCCCACACTGCCTAGCACTGTGTTCTTCTATGTCTAGTCTCAATAGATTTTAAAAAGCTTCAATGAGTCGTGGCTGGTTTGGCTCAGCAGTTAGAGCGCCGGCCTGCAGACCAGAGAGGCCCGGGTTCGGTTCCGCTAAGGGCACGTACCTCGGTTGCAGTTTGTCCCCAGCCCCGGTTGGGGTTGTGTGGGTGGCAACCACTCGATGTGTCTCTCTCACACTGATGTTTCTCTCTCTCTCTACCTCCCTCTCTCCCGCCTGCTCTATCTGAACATAAGTGCAAAACTGTCCTCGAGTGAGGATAAAAAAACAACAACAAAGGCTTCAATGATAACATTCTTTGTCTCTAAGAAAATTAACCCAGCTTCTGTATTCCGTCAGCAAAAGGAAATCATACGTACTCTGTCCAGGGCTGACAAGGGCCGTGTTTCTGATCATTAAATGTCCCAGCAGAGCAGTCTTCACAACCTGGCATGGAAATTTAAAGAAGCGATGATCAAAAAGGGAGAATGTTCATCATTTCACAACTTTCCCTGTGGTGAGCATAATCACATCACACAGTCATTAACTTAATTCAATCCACACAGACTCTTGAAACCAAACCCTAAGATGACTAATGTATGGAAATCCATGGTCCTGATGAATAACACGTGTGATTTCAACTGATCTCCATTGATTGAGAAATCGTTGGTAAATATCACCTAGACTTGATTCATTGCTTGCTCCTTTAAGGTTCTACAAATCTCTGCTTTATTTTACACCCAAAAGACCTAACTTCTGCACGGGTGGCTGGGACTCAGCTCTTGGTAGGTCATCCTCTCTCCTGAGCACCTTCGAGCATCAAAAGGCACACCTTCTACTAATTTTGGACTTCATGCCTTCATCTCCCCTTGCCTGGAATAACAATGTGCTTAATCTACCTTTTATTTGGAATGTTATTTCTTTATCTGGCTTATTAAGAGATTTTTTAAATGTTATTACATGTATTGGGGTAACATGGATTAATAAAATGATATAGGTTGCAGGGATACATTCCTATGATACGTCATCTGCATATTGTTGTGTCCACCACCCCAAGTCAAGTCTCCTTCCATCACCATTTATCTCCCTTTACCCTCTTCTTCCTCCCGCACCCCCGTTTCCCTCTGGTCATCACCATACTGTTGTCTGAGTATAAGGTTTTGTTATGCTTTGCCTAATCCCGTCACGCTTTTCACCCGGTCCCCTTACCCCCTCCCTTATTGAGAGAGATTATCTTGTATGCTACTAGCTTGTGACATTGTCACCGTGAATTTGTGCCCAATAAATTTTAAAAAGACAACAACAAAAAAAGACCGAGACCTAAGCTAACGGCACGTCTAGGGAGCAGCCTGGCACTGGGCTGGCAAGCGCACGCCTACCGTGTAGGGTCAGTTCCTGGCCTCGTCTGCAGTCCGGCTCACACATGGAACAGCCGGCGCCGCGGCAGTGGAACCCTGGGATGCACTCGCATTCGGCGTTGCTGGTGGGGGTGCACACCCTCCTCGTCCGGAAGACACCTACAGGGCCCCCCAAAGTGACATCACACCTGACCCCCAGTCCAGGAAGCAGATTTACGTTCTGCAACAAAAACCACGCGCACACTACTCAAAATGTTCCCAATGCCTTAGAGTATAGAGTTTACATTTGAATCCCAATAGAAGACATTTTTACATTTTGCTGATGAAAATTTTCTCTCCTGTCAAATGAATGTTTCCTCTAACATTTAAAAGCTCAATCCAGCCCTGGCCAGTTTGGCTCAGCGGTTAGAGCATCGGCCCGTGGACCAATGAGTCTCAGGTTCGATTCCAATCAAGGGCACGTACCTTGGTTGTGGCTCATCCTCAGCCCTGGATGGGGCCATGCCGGAGGCAACCAGTTGATGTGTCCCTCTCACGTCCATGTATCTCCCTCTCTCTCTCTCTCTGTCTCCCTCCCTCCCACTCTATCTGAACATAAATATCCTTGGGTGAGGATTAAAAATAAATAAATATGTACCTACCTACCTACACACATACATACATAAAAGCTCAACCACACATAATTGCTGTTGCAGTAAATTATTTCCCTGGACCTGCCTATTGACAGGAATCAGGGCTCTGACCCTGACTTGGAGGGGCGAGCAGCAGAACCCCAGGGAGTGGACGCTTGGCTCCCCAGCTCGGGAGGAATGAAGAGGACCTCTGAGTCGTACCTTCACAGCGCCTGCAGATGTCACAGGCCTTCTGCCCGCCGGCGCTGGAGAAGCTGTCTGAAGGACAGGGAATGCAGCTCGGATTCTTGGTTTGCCCACAGAAAGTTCCTAAGGAGGGTAGAGGACAGCTGTACGTGTTTGACAAAGGATTACTGTCACCTGAAGCGCCGTGACAGTCACAAGATAACCAGAATATGAAACAATAATTAGTTGTCTCGGTGCCACGGTGGTAGACTTGATTTTGTTGATGGGCTTTTTAAAAGTATACATCTGTGACCTGGCCAGGTGGCTCAGTCGGTTAGAACGTTGTCCTGTACACCAAAAGGTTGTGGGTTCGATTTCCCGTCAGGGCGCATGCCTAGGTTACAGTTCGACCCCCAGTCGGGGTGCGTAAGGGAGGCAACTGATTGATGTCTCTCTCTCTCCCACTTCCTCTCTCTCTAAAAATCAATAAAAACATATCCTCAGGTGAGGTTTAAAAAAATTTTTTTAATATACATTTGCAAGATTGCTCCCAACATAATCACAGAAATAAGAATAACAAAATATGAATATTGCAACAAAATCAACAGAAAGAAAATAGTCTCCTTTATCTATTGATTAAACAGAATGATTTCTCTCAATTGATCCAGGAGATCGACATGACAGATGCAGGAGGAGGTCAATGTCCTTCACTGGTACATGGGTCTGCCTCCCCCCACTCTGTGCCCCCTCCCAGCCCACCCCTGCCTCCTGCTTGTCCCCTGCTGTGCCTCCCCCCCTTTGACACAGGTCGTCACACACAAAGCTAACATGGACTGAGGTCTAGCCAGGACCCTGCACTATTGCAAGCCCACCATGTGACCCTCCCAGCAACTCTGTGAGACAGGTTCTCTCGTTACCCCTAGATGACAAAGTTAGGGCACAAGATGTAGCGTTGCTCACACACCTAAGATGTCACATCCAAGAAATATTTGTAAATGAATGAGTGAAAGGTCATTCACACAGAGCTCATTGGCCCTGACTACCGGACTAACTGGACCGTGTATTCAACAGGACAGATCAAGCACGTGTGTTAATGTGGTCTCACCAGCTGGACAGCTCCTGCAGGGATCCTGCATCAGTGTCCTCTCAAAACTCGTGACCAGCAGCACAGTGGCCATGAGGCTGTAATACCCGTTTCCCATGTTGCAGTCTGGCACGAATATGATACTAGCAAAGCAGATTCCAAAAGAATGTTGATCCGAGTCTCGGCTTCACAAATACCACTCTGCAAGAGGCAGAAATGTACAAAATGAGGTGTTTCCTCCTCAGATGCACACGTTGTGGCATCGCTCTACAATTCCACGGCACTGTCCCTAGGGGTTTTCAGGAACAAAGAGCAAAGGTAGCAATTTCATAGGAACTTCCATAGTAGGACAAGGGTAGCTTTGTGCACACTTGCCAACGGGTAAAAGTGCATCGCCCAGCAACTTTGCCAAAAACACAGAAATAACAATAGCAAGAACTTTTGGGGACTTCCATGGACACTTAGCATTAGCATCCAGATTTCGACGACGCCAGTGGCTTGCTGCCCCTGCAATAGGATCTTTAAAAAGAGACTCTGTCAGGGACATCTTAACCATTGAGCTCAAGGAGAAGACATCTCCTTACGCCTTTTGTCTGAACAGCATGTGGAGAGTTCAACAACTCATTGCTAAAAAGTCAGAACACTTCTCTGCTCAACTCATTACCACATTAAAAAATTTTTTTTTCGCCCAGGCCAGTTTGGCTCAGCGGTTAGAGCGTCGGCCTGCGGTCCGGAGAGACCCGGGTTCGGTTCCCGCTAAGGGCATGTACCTCGGTTGCAGTTTGTCCCCGGCCCTGGTTGGTCGTGCGGGTGGCAGCCACTCGATGTGTCCCTTTCACATCGATGTTTCTCTCTCTCTCTCCCTCCTGCTCTATCTGAACAAAGAATGAAAAAGTGTCCTCGGGTGAAGATAAAAAAAAAAAAAAAAATTTTTTTTTCAATTACAATTGACATTTAATATTGTATTAGTTTCAAGTGTACAACATCATGGTTAGACATTCATAGAACTCACAAAGTGAGCCCCCATCAGCCTGGTACCCACCTGGCACCAAACATAGTTATTACAGTATTATTGACCATATTCCCTGTGCTATATAGTTTCTTAATAGACCTATTTGCCTGTTTCGAGATCTGAAGTTCACAGAAGAACAAAACTAAGGAGTAAAAAGAAAATCTCTTTAGAGATTTTTATTTGATCTTTAGTTGATGGGCTTTGGGAGAAACGTCTAGAAATGTACACAGGAAACAGCCTCTGTCCTCACGGCAGCTGGAGCCCCCTGCCCACCCCACACGCACCAACCTGAGGTCGCAGGGCTGTTGAGGAACCGTCCACGTCTCGCTCTTCCCTTCGAGCAGTGAGCTCTGCAGGGGAGGAAGCCTGCAGCTCAGACAGAGCCCTGCAGTGACTCAGCCGGGGGCAGGACCGCGTGGGAAATCCCCGGCTCTGGAGGGAGCTGGTTTGACAGCTGCTGAGCACACCGTGCTCGGCCCCCACAGAATGAGGGCGATTTTAAGTGTTTCTTGGAAGCAGCTCTCGACCGTGAGGACATTTCTCAAGATGACTTTGGGAAGAGGAGTTTGTGACTTCACGTAGTTCTTAAAGTATGTGAGGTTCGCGGGAGGGAGCCGTGCTCAGAGGGAGGATCGGCGGGGTGCTGCCGCTCGCTCGGGCTCCCGCCGTGGCCGCCGTGGCCGCCGTGGCCGCCGTGGCTCCGTTTCCCGAGGGCAGCTGGCGTCCCCAGCACCCGATAAGCACGTTAACAAGAACTGTCCTCTACAGGACCCTAGGAGTCAGGATGGCTGTATTATCAGTGGGCCAACGTTGTGCAGATGAGGACACAGGCTCTGCCTCCAGCCGGATAATGAGCAGGATGGGGAGTGGGGAAGAGAACCCGAGACCTGGCCCCTTCATCTGTGCTCCTTGCCGGGCGGCAGAAGGGAGAAGCGAGGGAGCGGAGACGAGGGGAACGCGGAGTGCATCGGCAGCTCCATCACTGCACTGAGTGGGACCTAGGAAGGAAAGAGAGGAGGGGAAGGGGGGAAGGGGTAGAGCAGGTTGCTTCAGAGATGCGGGGATGAGCTGTCCAGCATCAAGTATCCTCAGGAAGACAACCAGAAGAAATAATAGCAAGAGTGGTTTTGACTAAAACAGACGGGTTTTCCATTAGGATCTAGACAGAAAACAGCTATTTTTCCCCCCATGGGAGACATGGAGTCTTGGTCTTCCACCGGAGGATGAAGGGAGAGGGTGAGAGAGCTGATAGTTACTGAACGTTTGCTACGTGCTAAGCACTTGGTGTGTTTCCACGACTCCCATCAGGCCACCGTCCTTGGACACTTCCAGGGGCTCCCCGCGGCCTCCAGCACTCAAGGAACCCCGGATCCAACCCGAAGTTGCCTTGTTGGAAAATTAAGATGTAGTTCACATAATATCCATTTTAAAGTGTATATTTGGATGGATTTATATTCACTAGGCTGGACAACTATCCCCAGTACATAATTCCAAAACACATTCTTTGGTCCAAAAAGAAAGTGCATACCCAGAAACGCTCATGTCCCAGGCCCCCACCCCGTGGACCCCGATAACCACAGATCTACTTTCTGTCTCTATAGATGATCCCATTCTGGACATTTCATATAAACATGTGGTCTTTTGTATCGGGTTCATTTCACTCAGCATAATGTTTTCAACATTGTAGCCGGCATCATTCCTTTTGACTGCAGAATAATATTCCTTTGCATGGGTAGACCACATTTTATTACTCATCAGCTGATGGGCATCTGAGTTGCTTCTACTTTTTTTTTTTTATCCTCACCCGAGGACATTTTTCCATTTTTTGTTCAGATAGAGTGGGAGGGAGGGAGAGGAAAAGAGAGAAAGAGAGAAACATCGACATGAAAGGGACACATCGAGTGGCTGCCACCCGCATGACCAACCAGGGCTGAGGACAAACTGCAACCGAGGTACATGCCCTTAGCGGGAACCGAACCCGGGTCTCTCCGGACCACAGGCCGACGCTCTAACCGCTGAGACAAACTGGCCAAGGCTGCTTCTACTTTTTGACTGCTATTAACAATGCTGCTGTGGACATTGGTGTACAGGTGTTTGTACAGATGTGTTTTCAGGTCTCCAGTGTGTATCTAGCAGGTAATTCTGTTTCACATTTTTTTTTGCGAAATTGCCAGATTACTTTCTACAGTAGCTGTACCATTTTATATTCCTACCAATAATGTAGACCGTTACAATGTCCCTACATCCTTGCTACCACTCGTTATCTTCTTTTAATTAAGGAAAAAATTATAACCATCCTAGCCGATGTAAAGTGCTATCTCGCTGTGGTTTTCATTTGCTACCTCTACCCCCATTGGACCATCCCCTCCCCATGTAATGGGAGCAGTAGAGTATAGCACGTGGTTAAGAGCCCAAGCTTTGCCCTGGCTGGTTTGGCTCAGCGGTTAGAGCGTCGGCCTGCGGTCCACAGAGACCCAGGTTCGGTTCCTGCTAAGGGCGCGTACCTCGGTTGCAGTTTGTCCCCGGCCCTGGTCGGTTGTGCAGGTGGCAGCCACTCGATGTGTTCCTTTCACATCGATGTTTCTCTCTCTCTCTTTTTCCCTTCCACTCTATCTGAACAAAAAATGGGAAAATGTCCTCAGGTGAGGATAAAAAAAAAGTCCAAGCTTTGTTTTTTTTTAAATATGTTTTATTGATTTTTTTAGAGAGAGATAGAAACATCAATGTGAGAGAGAACATTGATCAGCTGCCTCCTGCATGCCCTCTACTGGGGATCGAGCCTGCAACCCGGACATGTGCCCTGACCAGGAATCGAACCGGGACCGCTCAGGCCAAGGCTCAATCCACTGAGCCACACCGGCCAGGCAAGAGCCCAAGTATTGCTGTCAGACTGACTTGGACGGAGTCTAGGCTCATGACCATTGATGGTCATGTGACCACGGGCACATTTCTCAACGTCTCCATTTTTCCAACCATACTTGACAGACACAGAAACACGCCCCCCTCTCAGGAAGTGAGGAATGAAGGAAACGGTGAACCCGAAGTACTTAGCTCAATGCCTGGCCCATAGTTCTCAAGAAAATAGTCATGTTATTGAAAAGTACGGGTTTGAAATGTTCCTCTTCTAGCCTCCCACACTGATCATCACTAAAACAACCCAGAGCAACCAGCAAGAGAAGAAAAAACAAAAACAAAAACGCACGGGCTATCTCCAGAATGCATTCCCAAATTCTGTACCACGCCCTACGCATCACACGGCTGATCACGCCCAAATACTTTCAAAGTCCCGATCTAACCAAGGGCCTCCTCCTCACATGTGGTACTCTGTGTTCAGCACTGCAGCATGACATTTGACGGGGCTGTGTCGTCACTGAACTCACTGCTACGTGCTAATCTACATCTAGGATACTCTGGGGGCGGAGATGACCTCTCCTGAAAGTGACGTGAGCGGTTTCCCAGCGCAGCCATCAGCTCGCTTTTGCAAGCTGAGCCAGCGACACAAAAGTGTTTACTGAGCTCGAAGAGTCTCGAGATGAGTTTTAGCAGCCTGCAGGGGAACCCAACCACCCACTTCAGAACCGTTCTGCTGAGGCCAAGCCAGGGCTCCTCGGCGCCACGGAATTCCTGTCTGATGAAGTCATCGCAGGAAGCCAAGGCGAACTCTCGACCTGAGCAGGCGCACGTGCGCTCTGCTAGTCCGAGGTGGACTCTTCCAGCACACTTTTCAGGTGCTTTAAGATCTGCATCACAGACTTCCGGTCGAGATGGTGGTGGGTAAATGCAGTATCAGCTCCTTCCACAACCACACCAAAGTTACAACCAAACTGCAGAACAACCATCCTTCAGAACCGCCTGACACCCAGCTGGATGGAAGTCCTACAGCTACGGAATTAAAGCAGCAGCCACATGGAGACTGGTAGGAGGGCAGAGGGGACGGGCTAGTCCCACACCCACGTGTGGTGGACAAAAATCAGGAGGACACCTCGGCTGGGAAGGTCCTTCCTGAGGACTGAGGGGTCCCCGTCCCACACCAGGTGCCCCGCTCAGGGTTCTAGTGCCAGGAAGAGAGTCCCCATAACTTCTGGCTGGAAAAACCAGCGGGAACTGAGGCTCAGGGAGGCTGAGGCGGCTGGAGCCCCAGGCAGCTCCTCTTAAAGGGCCCACGCACAGACTTATCAGACTCTCTCCCTCTAAGCTTGGAGGGGAGGCAGCTCCAGGGGCACCAGAGACATATAGGGAAGAACTGAGTTGTTTGGCACTGGAGCGAGGCCTGGAGAGGGGGCTTTCTCCGGGATAAATGTGCTGTCAGAGGCCTTTGTTCCTTTGGTGAGCCCTGCCCTGGGGCGGCAGACAGCCTCCACGTCTGGGAATCCAGCAACCTGGCTCACACTGGTAGCCCCGCCCTGCTGACTCCCTGAGGCCCCGCCCCACCCAGCTTTCAGGCCCACTCAAGCTGTTGCCAGTTGCTTTACCATAGGATTGGCCTGTCTTGGATCCTGCTTCAGGTTTTCCTAAATTTTTTCAAACAAGCGGCATCTGGTCTCAGCTAGCCCCATACCTCTCATTAAGTAATACACAGAAACAAACACAGGGAGGCAGCCAAAATGAGGAGACAAAGAAACAGGTCCCAAATGAAAGAACAGAACAAAAGCCCAGGAAAAGAACTAAGTGAAATGGAGATAAGCAACCTAACAGATGCTGAGTTCAAAATACTGCTTACAAGGATGCTCAATGAACTTAGTGAGAACCTCAAGAGCATAAAAAAGGACCAGTCTGAAATGAAGGATGCACAGTCAGAAATGAAGGAGGCACTAACTGAAATAAAGAATAATTTACACAGATTCAATACTAGAGTAGGTAAAGCAAAGAAGCAAACCATCAATTTGGAATGTAAGGAAGCAAAAAACATCCAATCAGAACAGCAAGAAGAAAAAAGAATCCAAAAAAATGAGGTTAGTGCAAGGAGCCTCTGGGACAACTTCAAGTGTGCCAACATTCGCATCTTGGGGGTGCCAGAAGGAGAAGAGAGAGAACAAGAAATTGAAAACCTGTTTGAAACAATAATGGCAGAAAACTTCCCTAACTTGGTGAAGGAAACAGACGTACAAGTCCAGGAAGCACAGAGTGTCCCAAACAAGATGAACTCCAAGAGGCCCACACCAAGACACATCATCATCAAAATGCAAAAGGTTCAAGACAAAGAGAGAATCTTAAAAGCAGCAAGAGAAAGGCAGCTAGTTACCTACAAGGGAGTTCCCATTAGGCTGTCAGCTGATTTCTCAAAAGAAACTTTGCAGGCCGGAAGGGAGTGGCAAGAAACATTCAGAGTGATGAAAAGCAAGAA